TTTCTTTCTTTCTTTCTTCCTTTCTTTCTTTCTTTTCTTCTTTCTTTTCTTTCTTCTTTCTCTCTTCTTTCTTTTTCTTTCTTCTTTCTTCCTTCCTTTCTTTCTTTCTTTTTCTTTCTTCTTTCTCTCTTTCCTTCTTTCATCTTTCTTTCTCTCTTTCTTTCTTCTTCCTTCCTTCCTTTTTTAAGCTTTTATTTATTTGAGAGAGAGAGCACGGGGAACAGCAGTGGGAGAAGCAGACTCCCGCCTGAGCGAAGAGCCCAAAGCAGGGCTCAATCCCAGGACCCCAAGATCATGACCTGAGCTGAAGACAGACGCTTAACCACCCAGGCACCCATCTTTTTTTTTTAAGTATTTATTTATTTGAGAGAGAGAGAGCAGGAGGAGGAGCAGAAGGAGAGGGACAAGCAGACATGGGGCTCCATCTCACGATCCTGAGATCATGAACTGAAACCAAGAGCCAGATGCTCGACCCACTGAGCCACCGAGGCACCCCGATCTGGCATATTTTCTCCCACAGCGGCTCCATGAAGTAGGCATTACTGTCACCATCCGCATTTTGCTGATGTGGTAACAGAGGCTTAAAGCCATTCAGTGTCTTACCTAAAATCATGTGATATAGATCGAGAGATTTCCTACCTCCATCCAGTGGAAGGGCCTAGAAGCTGTGACACCTCAATAGCCATGAGCACACCCAGTGCCCAGATCTCGGTTTCCTTCTTTTTTTAAGATTTTATTTATTTATTTATTTATTTGACAGAGAGAGACACAGTGATAGAGGGAACACAAGCAGAGGGAGTGGGAGAGGGAGAAGCAGGCTCCCTGCAGAGCAGGGAGCCCGATGCGGGGCTTGATCCCAGGATCCTGGGATCATGACCTGAGCCGAAGGCAGACACTTAACGACTGAGCCACCCGGGCGCCCCCAGATCTTGGTTTCTGAACACTATCTCCAGTAAAAGCAACCACGCTCCTTAGAGAAGTGACTGATTCTAGCACTCAAGCAGGTAAGACACAAGAGTAAACACAAGGCCTACCAGGCAAACACAAGGCAAGCCTGGAGCATCTCATAGTGCCAGAATGTAAGGAAATGCTCAAAGAAACAAAAAGAAAAGGGAATGTCAAACAGACACAGGACGGGCGCCTGGGTGGCTCAGTCGTTAAGCGTCTGCTTTCGGCTCAGGTCATAATCCCAGGGTTCCGGGATCGAGCCCCGCATTGGGCTCCCTGCTCCGCGGGAAGCCTGCTTCTCCCTCTGCCTCTGCCTCTCCCCCTGCTTGTGCTCGCTCTGTCAAGTAAATAAATAAAATTTTAAAAAATCAAAACCCAAAAACAGACACAGGAGTGGATAGGAAAAAGCTCCCAAGCTGGAATAATTTGAACAACAAAATACATAATTTAATATTGAATTCTAACCCAAAGGAAAGATACATAAAGGCACAGGTCCTTTATGATAACTGGAGGATTATGTAAAGGAACAAAAACCTTCCTTACAGAAGAATCCCAAATAACGGGATAAAGGGAGATATATCCACCAGGAAGTGGGAGCGGGCCTGGAGTGTGGGTTCCACTTGCTTCCAAAGAAGAGAGTACGGACAGGGGAAGGTAGTAAACTTCACAGTGGGGAAAGCCTGGCAGCCCCCAGCTTCACCATGTAATCAAGGTTAACACCACCAGTAATAAGTCACGTGGACATCACGTGCCTCCTGAGGTCATGTGATGAGAAGGGCACTTGGCCTCTGAGGTATTCTTCCCCCAAACCCAAAACTTCTATCGAGTCATCAGAAAAACATCAGAGAAACCCAAACGGAGGGACAGTCTAACAAAATTCTGACCAGAACTCCTTAAAATTGTCAGGGCCATGGAAACCGAGGGCAGACGGAGAAGCTGTTGCTGACCAGAGGACACCAAGGAGACGTGAGAACAGGGCGCAGTGTGGGATCCTGGATCGGATTCCTGGACCAGAAAAAGGACATTCGCGGGAAAACCGGTGAAATCCGAATAAAATCTGGAGTTCACTTAATAGTCATGTACCCGTGTTGGTTTCTTAGTTTTGACAACCGTACCACGGAATGGAAGATGTTACCAGCAGGGAAACGGGCATTTGGAACTCTCTGGGCCACCTCTGAAACGTTTCTGTAAATCTACAATCATTCCAAAGTAAAAACTTTATTTAAAAAAAATCAAGCGCCTGGGGGGCGCCCGGGTGGCTCAGTTGTTAAGCATTTGCCTTCAGCTCAGGTCATGATCCCAGGGTCCTGGGATAGAGACCCACATTGGGCTCCCTGCTCATTGGGAAGCCTGCTTCTCCCTCTCCCACTCCCCCGGCTTGTGTTCCTGCTCTCGCTGTCTCTGTCAAATAAATAAAGTCTTTAAAAAAAAAAAGATTAAAAAAAAAAATCACACGGGTATAAATGTCTGAACCAGGATTCAAATTCATATGTGTCTGCCCCCTTGGCCCATATGCTCCACCCTCCCTGCACCATCTCAGGTTAGAAAGTCATTCCCAAAAGCTTCTTCATGGGTCTGAGCGTCTCCCCATCTGCCCATGTTTGCCTTCTAGGACCAACCTGGCTCACGTTTTCCTTGCCCCATGACCTCCTTTTGAGGGATGAAGGATGCTCTGGTTCCCCCAGGTGTGTTCACATCTCCAAGCTCATTCCCAGGTGCTTCTACTCTCCTGGGTGATTTGGGTTTCAATGAACATTGGCCTCCCCAGCAGCTACCCCTCCTCTGCAGCAGCCATCAGACTCCACGTGGGAATCCATGGGGTTCCAAGAAACATAAGTCCCCAGCCTGGCTGCAGGGCTAAAGCACATGACCTGGGCTAGGTCTGTCAGCACACACCGCCCCCTGGCCACTGTGATCAGCCCAGAGGTAGCCACGTGACCCAAGCTGGTCTAGTCAGAAAGCATCCCCGGACTTTGACAGGGAATGCTGGCACAAAGACAATTCCCTCCTTCCATGTTGGATGTGAATGAAGAAGCCCCTGGAAGCCTTAGGATGAAGACAATACCCAGGACAACCGAGTAGAAAAGTGGAAAGAGCTGGGTCCTCAGTGACATCAAGGAGCCCCTGGATCAAGCCTTGCTTGAAGCCCACCCTGCCCATATACTTCTTAGTTATGAGAACTGTGGTAGGCTGAGAAATGGTCCCCTAAATGATATCCACATCCTAATCTCTAGAATTTGTAAATGTTATCTTCTATGATAAACAAGGGAGGGGAGATAGATTTTTCAGGTGGGATTTAAATTAAGGATTATGAGATAGATTATCTGGGTGGACCCCAAATGCAATCCCATGTACCCTTATCCTTGGGAGGCAGAGGTAGATCTGACACAGACACACAGAGGAGAAGGCAACGTGACCACAGAGGCAGAGATTGAGTGGTGTGGCCACAAGCCGAGGAAAGCTGGCAGCCACCAGAGCTGGAAGAGGCAAGGAACCATTCTCCCCTGGAACACATCCCCGCTAAAGGGCAGAGCACGGCCCTGCCGACACCTGGATTTGGGCCCAATGATACTGACTTTAGATTTCTGGCCTCCAGAACAGTCAGAGAATACATTTCTATTGGTTTAAGTCATCTCATTTGTGGTCATTTGCTACAGCAGCTGTAAGAAGCAAACACAAGAGCCATTAAAGTCCCTTCAGTCTCCAAGCCTAGTTGAATCGGATATTTTGTCAACCGCGGCCCAAAGCTGTCTAATTCATACCCAGCCCTGCTGTCTCCTCCTCTGGTTAAGAGGTGAACTCTCCCCATTGGGAGGCAGACAGAGAGCCTCCTGACCTTTAGCTGGAGGAAGTGGGGCTGGGGTGGGGGCAGCATCAGACAGCCCGCAGACTCCAAGCAAAGGCATCACGGGAGTTTATTTACAGAAAAGTTACAGCCACCAGGGCCCATGCAGGCTCTGGCCAGAAGACCCCAGATATATATATCTATATACATATAGGTCCCAGCACCCATCAGCACGAGAGCTGTCCCCAGCTGGGCCCCTGCCAGAGGGACCAAGAGTCAGGCAGCGTGAAGGGAGTAGGCCCCAGTCCTTGCCAGCTGTCACAGGTCACCTGTGCAGTCCCTCTGCCGGAGGAAGAAGCTGGTGTCGGCCCCGGAGTGTGAGGACGGGCTGTACTCTGGACGCCAGGCCGTGGAACCCCAGCAGTGGCCTGGGGCTTGGGACACTCCAGGTCCCTGCAGACCTGTCCAGGAGCTGGGCACGGAGCTGGTGTCCCAGGCCATGGCTGCCCGTCATGCCGGGGGCTCTCCCAGTTTGCTGGTGGCACTTGTGATCCGCTTATTCTCTCGGAGGTTTCGAAGGCGGGCACTGAGGCTGCTGATCTCTTCCACGTAGGCCTGGGGCACCCACCCCTTCTCGCCGTCTGCCAGGCGGACCCCCTCCAGCCAGCCTAGGGGCACGCAGGCCAGGAGCAACATCAGTGGCATCAAAGGGACTCCAGGGCCAGGTCTGCCTTGTCTGCGCCCCTGGGGCAGGGGTGACATCATCCCAGCACCCCAGTTCCAGGAAGGACCCTGCCTCTGGCAGTCCTGTAGATGAACTTCTGACCTGTTTTTCCTGACAGCCTCTAAGAAGGGTATTTCCCATTCTTCCCCATCAGTCACTCTGAATCCTCCAGCTTTATAAGTGGGAAGTTCCTCCTCTTGTTAACTTGATTCCTGCATGCTGTGGTTGATCAACCCTGGCACAACCTTTTCCTGTGATGTCTTAGCCATCTGGCTACCTCCTGCCTGCCCGGGCCCCATCGGGGAGGCCTTCCCAGGAGGCCCCTCTTACCATCACTGGTTTGGGTCCTCACGGCCAGGATGTCAGTCTTCTCCAGGGTCAGCTCATCCGGCTGCAAAGCCTTGTATGTCCTGACACACTGAACCTGGGGGCGGTCTGACAGCCCAAGGGAGAGCGAGGGAGTCCCCGGGGGGGATGATTGGGGGCGGGGAGGGGTAGGAGGAGGAAGGAAAGGGGTCGGAGGTTGGTGGCTCCTGCCGCTTCATTTGCTCCACGCCTCCTGCTGCCCACCCTGACCACTGTCCTCTTATGCTAAACACAAGCCCTTGGTGAATCCAGTCCCTCCCAGCTGGGGTTATTGCCCAGGGCTCTCACCTCCCCAGCTCAGTCTAACACCTTGATGCTGACCTCCAGGCCAGTGTCCACCTGCCCCCAGGCACCCCCCACAAAACAGTAGTGGCCCCTTCCTATGCCCCTGCTACTACTCCAGGGCTCCCTCTAATCCATCCTTCTCAACTGGGCCTTCCCACTCCTCTGAGTAAAATCCAAAGTCCTCCCCACAGCCTACAAAGCCCTGCACGGTCTGGCATTGCAACCTCGCTAGCCTCCCCTCCTCCCCTCTTCTTCCCCTCCCCCTCCCCCTCCCCCCTGCCCCTTGCTCATGAAGCTCAGCAACACTAGCTGCCCTGCTGTTCCCCCAACATTCTCAGCTCCCTCCTGCCTCAGGGCCTTTGCACTGCCTGTCCTCCTTCCAGGAGTACCTCCCCCAGAAAAGGCTGCCCCTCTTCATCCTTCAGGGGCCTTCCCTGATCACCTCTCTGGAGTGGGACGCTCACCCCACAGCCCAAATAGGACTCTTAGCCCAAGCCAGAGAACCTGCTTCGATCTAGGCCCTAGGCTCTTTCTACCATGGTAGACAGGCTGGCAGTATTGCGAAAACCACAGGCTTTGGGGCCAGACCTGGCTTGAATCCCAGCTCTGCTCCCCACTGGCTGTCTGACCTTGGGCAAGTTACTTAACATTTCTGAGTCTGTTTTCTCAGATATGAGAAAATGAGTCTACCTAACAGGATTATCATGAGGACTGAGTAAACTAAATGCGTATAAAAGCCCCTTACACTGGGCCTGATGCATGGCAAGCATGGGTAGAAACAAGTTCCTTTCCCTTCCCTTCGTTAGCTCAGCCTTAACTCCCCTGCTCAGAAACCCTCAAGAGCAGCCTGGTATCCACTATATCAGGGTCCCTCTCTGACTGGGCAGCACTCTGGCTTACCGGCCTCACTCACACCCCAGAGAGAAGCCTCTATATCAACAGAGCTGGTCCCTCACCCCCCACCCCCTGGCCACTTTGGTTTCTGCCCTCTTTGCAACAGAAGTGAAGGTGGAGACAGACCTGGGCTCCAGCCGCAGGCCTGCCACTTACTAGTTGGGTGAACTTGGACAAGTCACTTTAACCTCTCTGAACCTCTGTTTTCTAACTTGTAAAATGGGTTTCTGTGGGGATGAAATGGGAGGATACAAAAGGCTTTGCCATCTCCAAGGTGTCACCTGAGCACACGGGGGTCCGCCTGGCCTATGTAAATGTTGTCCCTCTTCCAAGGATCTGCACCTGGGCCCCTGACTGCCCCAGGCCGACCCCTGACCCCAGGCCGGCCCCTGACTGCCCCAGGCTGGTTGATCTCTCTCCCTGCTGGCTCTGTAGGCCACAGGCATCAGGAAGCGAGGAAAGGGGAAGAGGAGGGAGGGACCCAGCAGGGGGCATGCGGGCCTTGAGGCGGGGGGGGGGGGGGGGGGGGGGGGGGGGGGGGGGGGGGGGGGCGGGGGGGGGCAAGGGGAGGCAGGCTGCTACCTTGGCCCTCGCTGAAGACCTCCTTCTCCTCCTGGGAGCTGGAGGGGCACATGGCTGAGATCCATCGCTGCTTCTCACTTCTAGGGAGGGGGAGGCTGAGTTGTCACAATGCGCAAAGTGCAATCTCCCAGGGCCAGAGTGGTGAGACAGGGCTGGGAGAATTGGGGTATGATGTCCAGACTCAGGACCCACCCCAGGGCCCGCCCCACAGCCCTGTCGGTCCCCAAGCCGGGGCCCCACCCAGCTCTGAGCATAAGAGAGGAGGCCCGGAAGGCTCTGGATGCCAGCTCCACCCGTGGCCTGCCTTATGCCCCCTGTCCCCGCAGGCAGGCTTGAAAGGCCTTGTGCCTGCCCCGGGGGGGTGGGAGGGGTGTCCTCTCTCCCCACACCCAAGCCCACTCACTCCGTCCGGGCCCTCAGCAGGAACTGGTGCTTCGCGTGTGGCCCATGGAGGAGCTGAAGGAGGAACACGTGGCCAGGGATGCCTTGGAGCTTCAGGCTCAGATCCTTCACCTGGAGCTCCGCCATCTTGGCATGGACAAACACGGCAAACTTCCCTAGCCTGCGGGACCGGGGTGACACTTTAGTGAATGAATGAATAAACCAGGAATGAACCCTTCCCATAGTCTAAGAAGTCCTTTAGCCCTTTCTTCATCACATCCAGCCTTAAGACTTACCTCACTCAGAAAGACTTTTCCCTCATCCCAAACTGATACCAATCACAGCTAATACTGAGTGAGTGTTCACTGCATGCCAGGCACTGTGCTAAGCTCTTTCCATGTATTATTATCACACTGAGTGTCCCTACATGGTAGTCTCTATGTTACAGATGGAAGATAAGATAATACAATGGTTAAGAGCCCGGGATCGGACACCGGACAGACCTGGCCTCCTGGCTCCTGCACTTACTAGATCCATGCTCTTGAGAATAACAAGGGAGCCTACTTTCCAGGGAGATGTTAGAGGACTGAAGAGAATAGCACACACAGCATGCCTGGCACAGGACAGGGGTTCAGTAAATGTTGGCCATTATCAGGATGAGTTAGGGCGGAGCTGGGACTCCAGGACAGTGCTCTTAATCTCTGCTCTGCAGACAGCCCAGCCCTTGGTTCTCAGGACTGGAAAATGGACTGGCCTCACATCTCTGCCTTTTCTGGGGGAACCTCCAAGGCTCGGGGTGCCCCAGCAGCCCAGGCAGGGGCTCCCAGGCCTAGTGATGGACTGTTTGGGAGCCTCATGGTGGGGAAGAAGGGACCTGGCTCCAATCTACTTCCCGCACCCTGCCCAGACTCACTCCTTCCGCCGAGAGACCAGCAAGCAGTCGTTGAAGAGGTGCAGGTAGACTGCCTTGCTGGACAGCTTCAGCTTGGCTGGGGGCGCTGCGGGCAGTGGTGCCAGTTCCATCAGTTCCCCGTGCCGAACCAGCCAGCGGGCCTGAGAGATCAGTGGGAAGATCTGGAAGGATGGAAGGGGCCAGGGGGAGGGCAGGTCAGGCCCGGGACAGCAGAGCAAAAAGCACAGAACAGGGGAGGGGTGTGGCAGGGGAGCGTGGCCTGCCGTGCTCAGGGAAGGAAGGAACAAGAGCAACCCCTTTGTGGCCCCCATCCCGCCAGCAGCAGGCATGCACCTTGCCCTCAAAGTGGATCTTCTTGCTCAGGTGGATGAGCTCCTCTGTCCTCTTCATGGACTGCACACTGGCATTGCACTCTTGCACCAGCTGGGGAGGCCGTGGGTGGGTCACCTGCGGCCCCCCCACCCCTGCTCCCAGAGCCTAGCCTCAGGCTCTCCCACCTGGGGACCAGAGGCTCTGATGGCTGGGGCTCATTTAGAAATATGCCAGGAATCTGGGGGGCCCTGGGGAGCTGAGCTCACCTCCTTGAGTGCATTGAAGGCTTTGGTGGCCACATCTTCGTCTTCAGAGCCCTGTGCTGTCCGCTTCAGGATGTTCTGGAGGGTGGGGTCGGTGCAATGAGGCAAGCCGAGACCTCCACCCATAACCCTGCCCTCCCGTCTTTACCCAGGAGGGACTGTGGAAGGCACAGCAACATCCCCCCCCCCATAGCCCTCACTGTAGCCCAGTGCCCTCCAGGTACCTCCACCAGCATCTTGAGGCGTGTGATCCTCTGAAATGGCAAGATAAGGAAGGAGGTGAGGGGCAGACGTTGGCATACGGGAGACTCCTCCAGGCGAGCCAGGATGCCAGGGAACTTGGGGTTCTCCAGGCTGGAAGATGGGGAGGGGCCTCGGGTCACAGATAGGCTCATAGATTCTATGAACCGCCAGGATCCATGACCCCAGCCACCCTCTTGGTTTTTCAGGTACCTTCTCGGCACATCCTTCCTGCCCCTTGGGGTTGGGTCTAAACTGATCTTAGGTCAGAGAGCCCTGTTAGGGAACCACCCCCCTCCCGGGTCACCGGTCCTCCGTACACCCTTCCGCCTAAGACTCCCTTTATCTTCCCCGCCCCGCCCCGCCCCCCCCTTCAGAGCCTCCAACCCTACAGCAGGCGCTGGTAGGTGCGCTCCTGGTAGGCCTGGTTGGTGACGTAGGGCAGGTACACTCGGCGGAAGGCTGGACAGTGGTGCAACACAATGTCGCACACGCTGAAACGCAGGACATCTGCCTCTAGCCGCTGCTCCAGGTCCTGCAGAAACCTGAGGGGTCCGGCGGGGGGTCAGGGTCAGGGCCAAAGAGAGACCCCAGACCTGGGAGCCGGGCCAATCACAGGCTTTGTCCCCGCCCCCCCACCTGACCAGACCGCTCCCACACCTCTCGCTGGTGCTCTTGACCTCGGGCAGTTTAGAGAACAGCCATTGCTTGTCCTGCACCCCCAGACATTCGCTCAGCTCAGCAGATCCTAAGAAGTGGCCCACGGCCACCGACAGGCTGTGGATGTATGAGGCCTCGGACGTGATCAGCTCAAACTTGGCCTGAGTGAGGGTGGAGGCGGGGTTGAAAGGGCCCGACAAGCCCACCCCGGACACTGTGACCTCACTTACCACCCGCCCTCCCGACTCCGCCATTCCTTTCCCCGTCCCCCTGCTGTCCAAGCCCCGGACACCATCTCCTTAGACGCCCCACCTCCGATGACCTGGTGCCTGACGGGTGAAGGGGACCACCTCTAGCCGCGAGCAATTGTTCAAACTCAACTGAAAACCTTGCCTGAGCCCCTAGCTCCATCTAGCAGGCCTGCCCTTCCAGTGGGGAGCGCTGCATTTAGCCCCGCCCCCGCCCCCCGCCCCAAGCCCCGCTCAGTCCCTCGCCCACCAGACGTTTTCTCTCCAGAAGGCACTGCCCCTCCCGGTCCTCGCTTTCGCCGTCCCACCTCGGCCGGCCCAGCCTGACTCCGCCCCTCCTCTGGCCCTGTTGGCCCCGCCCCTAGCCCCACCCCTCCGCCCAGCCGCCGCTCTCGACGGCTGCGGCTGCGCTCCCGGCACCGCTATAAGCCTGCCCCACCTGGTCAGGTCCGTGCACCCAACTTTCGCATAGACGGTCCCGCCGGCCCCGCCCTCTCGTAGCCCCGCCTTCCCCGCTGGGTCCCACGCCCACCTCCAGCAGTGTGCCGTCCCGCTCGCCCGGTAACCCAGGGCCCGGGGCCCCGCTAAGTTGAGGGACCACCCCCACCACAACGTCCTCCTGGCCCCGCCCCTTCTGTGGCCCTGCCCCCTGCGGGCCCCAGGGCCACCTCCCCGGCTGGCAGCCTCGCCGGCCCCGCCCCGCTGGCCCCCGGCGCCCACCTCCTGCAGTTTGCAGTCGCGCAGGCTCAGCGTGGCCAGGACGCCGCTGCCGCGCACGTCGGGGATGTCCTGCCACAGCGAGAAGGTGGAGCCTCGCGCCGAGCGCTGCGCCCGGAAGGAGCTGCTCGGGGAGAGGTTGGCGCGCGGCGGCCCGGGCCCCTCCTCCGCGCCCTCCGCCTCGTCCCCCGGGCCCTCCTCCTCGCGCTGCTGCCGCCGCAGTTCGCGGGCGCTGGCCACGTCGCTGTATTCCTGGTAGAGGACCGCTGGGCGGGGAGAGGGGCGGGGGAGGGCCGTGGGGCGCCCGCCTGCCCGGTCCGGCTCCTGCCCGGCGTCCCGAGAGCCCGCCTCACTAAACGAGCCTTTCGGACGGTTCGGGTAGCGGGACACCGTGAACTCGTTCACTCACTCACTCACTCCTTCCAGAAACACTGCATGCGCACCCACTGCGTGCTAGCCACTGTGCTTGCTACGGAGATTCAGCCTCTTGCTCTCTTGCCCTCTCGCAAGATCCCAACCTCTCAACTCCCCGAACCCGCAGCCCCCCAGCCCCTTCCTCCCACGTACTGTTAAGGAGAAACCGTGACTGGCGCCGCTCGCTGGCGCTCCTGGACCCCGGAGCCAGCTCTTCCGGCGTGTCCAGCCTAGGAAGGGGACAGGGTCAGGGCCCTTCTTCGCCGGCACCCCTCCTCGGACCGAGCGCGGAGTGGGAGATGGTACCTGGGCTCGGGCCAGCCGCTCTGGCCCCCGCTCGGGTCAACAGGGGCTGGCATCGCCAGGCCGTCCACCCTCATCTCTACACTGCGCGACTCCCTTCCAGATGCTTTTCCTGGAGAGGGCGAGAGCTGAGGGTGGGTGGCTCCAAGAATGGCGCTGGGCACTGGGGTGCCACACTCCAGCTGACCAGCACCCCGTCTCAGGTGTGGGCCGTGCCCCATGCTGCCTCTGGCTCGTGGCCTGCTCTTAGGGCCCAGGGAAGAAGCTGGTACCTTCCCGAGCTGCACCAGTGCCTGACCCTGGGGTCAGTACCCTGGCTGCTGAATTCCGCCCCAGGCGCAGGGAAGAGTGCAGCCGGGTCATCAGCTCAGAGGCTGAGAAGCGCCTCCGCTCAGGCCCCTCGAGGCCGCCTCGGGAGGGTCCAGACAGCTCCAGTGGCCTAGGCTCCTCTGTGCTCAGGGCCTGCTCTGCCGCCTGGCCAGGCTCCAGGAAGACAGCATGGGCTTCAGGGCTGCCAGGGAGCTCTTCACGCTGGTACACCCGCATCTTGCGCCCTACGGGGAAGTGGGGCGAGAGCACACGCTGTATCCACTGGGCGCTCTCTCCACTCCTCGCTGCTGCTACCCTGTGGCCCTGAGCCTCTGAGGGAAAGGTCAGTGTTTTTGCCAGGATCTGGTCCCCCCGCCCCCCAAAAATAGGATCCACAAGAGGGGTAGCAGAGAGAGCACAGTGCCTGCCTGCAGTGGGCAAAGGGCCAAGGAACCCAGGACAGCCACTCATTTGCAGTGCAACCTCCAACAAGTCACCAGTCCTCCCTGATTTCCCATTCTCTTCTCACTAGAATCTAACACTTGTCCTGCCTGTTTGGGGAACTCTGGGGCTTATGAGTCTTAAAAGAGCCACCCGACTTCTCCCCTGTCTGTCCCACTGGGCCACCACCCCCTCACCCAGAGTGACTCACAGGCAGACTTCTTCTCTGAGCCGTGACTGGCCCGGCGCTGTGGCTGTGGGTGCTGGGGACTCCAGGGTCCCTCCAGAGCTGGGGGCTGGGCATTAGGACAGTGTGGCCAGCTGCCAGCCCTGCTAGGCCGCATCCCCCCACCGGTGGAGATGTCGGGGTCTGGGACTTCCGGGGGTGGCGGCCATGGCAGCCCTTGGAGAGGAGCAGGGGTCCCCAGTGACCAGCGGCTGCCAGGAGCCCGCAGCTCCTCTGGGGCCACAGGGAAGAGATCCAGACACACAGGGCTGGGGGGCTGCAGGGTGGGCAACTCTGCAAAGGACAGGCTCTCCTGCTGGCACACGGCTACCGGGTGGCGGGCAGAGCCACGTGGCCCCGCCAGGTGGGACTTGAGGGTGGCAGGTGGCCCACAGTCCATTCCTCCTTTGCTCTGCCACCCACCTGGGCCTGCACGGGAAAAGGTATGAGAGGCAGACACAGAACAGTAGGGCTGGCCAGCAAGCCACCTCCGTCTCAGAGGCCTGGACCAACCCTTATGTACACGTGTGCGCACATTCCTGCACCTAACTGCATAGTAACAGCTAATACTTACTGGGCACTTACCGAGTGGCAAGTGCTGGGCAAGTGGCAAGTGCTTTATATATATTATTTCATTGAATCCTCACAACCCTGAGTTGATGCTATTGTTATCCCCATTTTATAGGTGAGGTAGGTGAGGCACAGACGTTATTTGGCCTATGGGGGGAGCCAGGATTCAAACCCAGGCTGTCTTGCTTCTGAGTCTGCGCTTTTAACCACCTCGTGCATTTTCAACTCTCACTGACCTATGGTCAGACACACATACATACATTGTCGCACGATCCATGTATGTTCCAGGCACATGCACACACGTTTTCTTCCAAGTACACACATGGACATACACACTTTCATAGGTACACTCAGACACTTCAAAGCCACGGGCTCACGCATTCACACACTTTTCACACAACTACATATATTCACACACACACACACACACACACACACACCGACCCATCAGATATTTATGTACCCACTCAAGCTTTCTCACACTCCTGTTCCATTCACACTCACACACTGAGATACAGACACAAATACACGGGCCCAGAAGTCCTTGCTTTGGTGTTAGCCAACCTCCCCGACCATGCCCAGAGTTGCAGCCTTCAGCGCCAAGTGGTGCCCACACCCTGCCAAGCTGGCTGGGAGGGTCACAGACCAGCACCCGGGCCACCACCCAGATCAGGCTAGGCCCTCCCGGGAGAAGGGCAGGGAGATGTCCTGGATCCCCCACTTGGGGCGAGAGAGGGGTTCTTCCCTACCCAGGGCTCCCAGCCCCAGGGATCGAGCCAGGCTGACTGGGTCCTCTCTGGGCAGGAAGTCATCCCCAAGGAGTCTGCCGGAGCCTCGGGACAGGCCTAATGATAGAGGGATCCGAGCCCCCACAGCCCTTCCCCCTGTTCCTCCACCGGCTGCCCTCCTGCAGCCCCTCACCTCTCCAGCCGAGGGCTGCTGCTGATCTTGTTCTGCTCCTGCTCCGGCGGGAGAAGCCCTCTCTTTGCCCAGCTGGCTGGGGGAGATCCCACCCAGACAAAGAGTTTGATTCATCAAACCCTGTGGTGAGGCAAGCGGTAGGGAGGGAGGGAGCAGGCAGCGGGCTGGGCGGGGGCCTACCCTAGCCTGGCCTCACTGTGGGCAGGCGGGGCAGCAAGGACCCCCCCAGAGGCCCCCTCTGGCCAGAGGAGCAGTGCCCAGCCTGGCAGGGCAAGGAGACCCAGGGGGCAGAGACAGAGATAGAGACCCAGAGATACGGAGACCCTTTAGGCAGCATCTCAGAACAGGAGACCCCAAAACACTCAAACCCAGGAAACCACAGACGCCAAGACATTCAGGGACCCAGAGATGGAGACAGAGACAGAGACACTGAAAATTTCAAAGACCAGATACTCAGAGACAGATGCAAAGCCCAGAAAAACCCAGGGAGACAGATGGACAAACGTTTTGTAGCCCACAGGGTTGCCAGTCTAGTGAGGGAGCTGAAAATGAAAAAACAGTTACAATCCGGGTTGGCAGGAGCCAAGCCAGAGGAACCGTCAGCGCTGGGCTCAACTTGACCTGAGCATTCCAGGAAGGCTTCCTGGAGGAAGTAATGGCTAACTGTTCCGGCTGAAATAGCCAGGGACCCAATAAACATTGATAGGGAGAAAATCTTGACCTGAGAGAAACAGTGACAGCGTCAGTGACCGAGGGATGAGGGAGGGATGGAGGAGAGGACCCAGGGGGGGACCACTCTATCTGCAGAGCCACCCAGCTGCTCTCCTGCTCTCTTCAGTCCCTGCCTGGGATGGGGTGGGGCTGCTCCTACGAGACAGTTACCCTCCCCATAGGGACAGCTTAACTTGTACCTTAAACCTCTGTCCATCTGAGCACGTCTCTGTTTCCTCATCTGGTAAGTAGTCTAGTCCTGCCAGCTTTAAAACACTAATATGAGAATTAATGATAGCACACGTAAAGCCCCTGGCACAGAGTGGGAGCTTTGTAGTTGATAGTCATTCTCCTGAGTATTGTGATTAGTCTTTCTCTAGTCAGCACGTGGCTTGGGTCGTCATGTGGATGAGGAAACTGAGTCAGTGAGGATGAGACCCACCCTTCTTTGTAGGAGCACGTGGAAGGAGACTTGGGACCACTGCCTGCCAGAGAGGTCTCTTTCTCTCCAGGAATCTGAAGTCCTCAACATAGAAGTCCTACTTGCTTCTGTGGGGACCCATGTGCAAGAATACACACGTGCTTCTGCTCCCTTGTATTCTGGGAGATCCTCTCCACTTGGATTCAGGGAGCCCCTGGAAGGCGGGGAGCACACCCCCCCCATGCCCTCCTGAGTTACAGGGGTAAGTGAGCAAAAACATGGAAGCCTTGGGGCAGGAGCACCCCCTATTAAAGGCTTAGAGGGAAGCCTGGGTGGATGCCAGGGGAAGGTGGTAGGTTTTCTGTAGAGAGGAGGCTGGAGGCAGGTCCCTAGAGGGAACGTCAGAGGTGAGTCAACCTCCACCTCTGTCCAGACCAAAAGGCAATGGGAATGACCCATCTAGCTGGGATACCAGCCCTGTGGCCTTCCCAAGATGTAGCCTGCTCAACCTCAGTGCTCGGGACCAAGGAGGGGTTGAGCTGTGTTCATACTGTGTGCAGCTCATCTCTGCTAGAAAAAAAAATAAAGGAAAAAAACCTCAGGAAGAGAACTGGCCCCAAGTAGCAGGTCATTCCCTACTCCAGACAGGATCACCGGATACTCTAGTGGCAATGGTCATTCTGGAACCCATAGGGGAAAACCCCTGCCAAGGTTCAATCCCAGTGTTGAAGTCATAGCCTGTTCCTGGGGCCCAACCCAGTGTCCCCATCTGTAAAGTAGCATGGAAGGTCCCTCCTGGCTGCCCCCTCTAGGAAACTCGTGTCATCAGGAGTATCTCTGTGGGCAGAGAAGGACAGGGACCAAGGAGGGCCCCACCCAGTGGGCACTGCTAATCACACGGACAGTGGGCCCACTTGGCAGGGCTGGCAGAGAGGGTCTCTGGATACTACTATGGTTCAGGGAGAGCACCTCTGGCTTCCTGCGCCCAGGATTTCCCTGCCTCCCTCCCTGGTCCCCCTTGCCCCGATGCCCAGAGGAGTAGGGCCCTGCCATGGCCCCTGTGCCCCTTCAGGAACAAAGCCGAGTGGAAGGTCATGGCTGGAAAGGGGATCCAGGCCAAACAGGCTATGGAGCCCCAGGAGGCCATAAGTGGGTGGGAGCCAGGATCAGAGGCCAGGCAGGCAGCACAAAGGACTCACTCTAGGAAGCCTGGCGGGAGGAGAATGGGACGGCCGGCAGCAGGGTGGGGCCCTACCTCAGCCAGGGAGCTCTGTCCAGCCTCCGACACGGTCCAGGGCTCCAGACCACCTGGGGGCTCTGGGGTTGCAGCTGGGTCCTCGGGGGGCTATGTCAGCATGGCCCCTGAGCCGGGCAGTGCACGCTCCTGGGTATTGTGTGGGGCGGGGAAGGGGGAGGCGAAGGCGGAGGGAACCTCGCAGGCGGGCAGGCGGCTGTCTCAACGTGCCTGCTCCCCGCCCCCCTTCCCCAGAACCGGTTTGGCCAGTCTGGGGTACAAGAGGGGGGCTGGAACAATGGGAGTCCTATGCCCAGGAGAGGCTCTGAAGGACCCCAGACCGATGTCCTAAAGATGGGGGAAGCATTGCTTTTCCGCCCAAGAAACAGGTCACCCCTCTTCTGAAGCTTCCCAAATGTAAGACGTGCTGGGGGAGGAGAGGCTTCACAGAGAACCTCCCAAGCCTTGGCCTCCTCAGGGACCCTGAGAACTCTGCAGTTTGCTGACCCTCCCTGAGCTGGCTACAGCACCTATAAAATAGGAACACTCGTTTCTATGGTGGAGAGATGGAAATCATGAAAGTTGGTGATGTGCGTCCAGGACCATCCTGGCCAACCCTTCCAGCATCACTGCTCCCATGAATGACCCACCCTCCCCTGCCGCCTGGAATGACCCACCTTGCCATTTCCAATGGCCTCCTCCACCAGGAAGCCTTCCCAGACTCTAGCCCACACCGAATGAGCCCTCAATAAACCAATAGCCCAGGTAGAACCAGCCTCCAGTAAGGAGGCTGCAGCAAGCATGCAATCTTCCCAAGCCCGTGAAAGGAAAAGCTGTTCTCTTCCCAATACTACCGGCCATTTATTTAAGCACTGGGTAATTGCCAGACACTCAGTGTTAATATCAATATGTACACAAATACCAATACTCATGTTGCTCATAACTTATTGTACACTATGTGCGAGGCACTGTTCTGAGCACTTCACATCTTTTTACAGGTTTCCCCCACTACCCAAAAGTAGAGCGTTCCTATGAAAGCTTTCCTAAGCCAAAATGGCATAAAACAAAGAAGCAATTACCATTAATGTGTATGGAAAAATGTTTTTAGCATTTCCATACACCAAAAATAACCTCTCTTAGGCTTTTCCGATATTTGAGGACACATCTCGCTAACAGATGCACAAAATAAATCGAGATAAAGCACAGATGCCCCGGGGCACAGCTCAAAGCTCTGTTGGCTTGATCCTGAGACGCTGAGTGCCGGGCCAGGGAAAAGCTTGGTGTGGCAAGCTCTCGCTCAGGGTGTGTGCTGCCTCTATAAGGGATTGCTGCAAAACAAATGTTGAACGCTATTTTCCCTTTTTCACTTTTTTCCGTAAAAGCAAAAATTTTCTTTGGATTTCTTCCGGTTAGTGAAAACAGGTACTAATAAATAGAAGTCTTCGGTGAAAGCCAAGTGGTGTAATGCAAACTTTTGAAAAGCAGGGGATACTGTATTCATTCAATCTCCACCACAGCCCTGTTACTGCTCCCACTTATCAGATGAGGAGATGAGGTTTGTACATGTTAAATCGGGGGAAGGGCGTTATCCCATTCAATCTCTCATCAGCTCTATGAAGCCTCTATTTTACAGATATGAAACTGAGGTCTGAGGGATTAAATCACTTGCCCAAGGTCATACAGCTAATAGGTGTCAGAACTAATATTCAAACCCAGGTCTTTGACTCAACCACCAACCTCTTTCCTTAGCCACTGCCCAGGACTGTGTCACCAGGCTTTTGGGAGGATCTGGTGAAAAGTGTGTAAACGTCCATTGGGAGGTGTCTCAGCTCTCCTGACTAAACCCTTTTACTATTATTTCATACACTGCCGGCCTCCATGAGCATATGGGGCAGGTGTCCAGGGCCCAGATCCCAATGTACTCTCCCCCACCATCTGGTGACCACTCAGTACTGAGTGATTAGGGTCCCTCCACTCCCTTGGCCTCCAGAGCACCCAGAAAATGAAGAGACACTGCACAGTGTGTGTGGAAACCAGGTGTCCATGGAGAGGTGGCACACTGCGGGGCAGAGAGAGGTTTATTGCCAGCACTGCACATAGAGCAGGAGACGGGGACAGGGAGAGGGAGGCAATACAGGACTGGCGGTCTTCAGAGAGCTTTAATGCTCTAATCCTCTCACCCCAGTTCCGAGGCCGACCTTGGGGCCGCTGGCCAAGGTACTGCCCAGACCCCCGGCCAGAGCCAGAGGACCCCAAATGGAAGGAAGCATCTGGGGAACCTAGGGTTCTTGAAGGGCAGTCCCGCCTCACTCGCGCCTGGTCCTGGGCTCTGGGGACAGCGCCCCTGCTGCAGAGGACAGGAAGCACGGCTTGGTCAGGCTGAATAGGCTGGCCCTGGAGAGCAGAGGGGACTCCAGTGGGGATAATACCCTAGAGGGGGCGGGGAGTGGGCGGAGTTTGGTGAAGGGCGGGGCCAGGGAGAAAGGAGACGGAAGGGGGCCAATTCTCCCTCGGGGAGAGGCCAAACTAGAGGGCGGGGCAAGAGAGGGCTGAGCTAAGGCCTGGGGGCGGGGCGGGGGCGTGGTCAGGGGGAGGGGCCAGGGTCCGTTAGCACGCTGACCTAAAGCAGCGCCTCCCCGGAGTCCGCAGGCTTCTGCATGGCCAGATAGCGCTCGCGCTTTATTTTGGTAACCAGGGCGGCTGGAACGTCGGGCACGAGCCAGGCGAGGAGGCGCACGGAGAACACCACGTGCTGGGGCCAAGGGGGAGTCAAAGAGAGAATGAGTCCCTTAGCTACCTTAATTTATCGAGCGCTTACTAAGTGCAAGACACCATTCTGAGGTTTCCCGGGTATTAATTCACTTAATCCTCACAACAACACTAGGAGGTGAGTACAGTCACTATTCCTGTTTTACAGGTGAAGAGACTGAAGCATAAAGCGGTTGTCATTTGCCCAAAGACACGGATATAATTCGAAACCCGTAACACTAGGGACCCTGGTAGAGGCAGAGCCGGAGAAAGGATCCTAAGCAAAGCCGGAGGGAGCATGCCTCCTCTCCTTCCTCCAGGTCTGTTGCCCAAAGATAATAGTCGTAGTAGTAGTAGTGCTATTAATTTATTGAGCACCTACAATGTGCTGGACACTGTGCAAGTGTTTGGCACCGAATCTTCATAACGACCCTATGAAGTAGATCCTATTCTATGGCATATCCCCCGTTTACAGCTGGTCGGCGGCAGCGCTTGAACTTGAACCCAAGTCTGTCCGACACACACAAATAGCTGAGCCTACCTCGAAGGCGACGATGAAGCCCAGACGCACGGCCAGCAGCTTCCAGTAGAAGAGGGTGAGGTTCCCCTGTGGGTCGAGAAAGGCCGCGTACCTGAGCTGAGGAGGGCGCGGGGTCCGGCGAGTCTCTCCCGCCCCTCCCGGCCCTGGTGCCTGGCCCCGCCCCTTCAGCGGTTCCCCCCACCCCCACCCCCCCACCTCAGCTCTGCCCAGCGGACCGCCGCGCAGACTCAGCTTCCTGTCCTCTCAGTTGGGCCCCGCCCCACCCCTCCCACGGGCTCACTGCTCCGCCTCCAGATTCAGCACCCCTCCCCCCCAGCCAGGCCCCGCGCGTCCCCAGGCTCAGCGCTCCACCTCTCCCAGACAGGCCCAGACCCCCCTCGTTGAGGCTCCCACTTGCAGGGCGTGAGGGCCTCCTGGGCAAGGTAGGCTGCAGGTGCGGGCGCAGTTCTGCAGTTGACAAAGCTGCACAGTAGGCTGTGTGTTCCTACTGGTACAGGAGACAGGAGACGCAGACGCATTAGGTCCGAGGTGAAGGCGAGGAGGAAAGCCTGCAGGGCCAGAGGGACTCCAAGGCCCAGTCTCCCAACTACCCCGACCTGGGTCCAAACCCATTCCCGTGGGCAGGATGAGCCTGCGCCCAGAGTCCTAGAACCCTACCTCTTATTTCCCTACCTCTGATCCTGGAATTCCGCCTCCATTTCCCTATTCCTAAGCCACCTTTCCCGGTCTCTGATCTCTATTTCCGCCTCTGACCCTGTATGCCCCTCCTTTGCCCCATGCTCACATTCACAATGACCAGAAGGTGGGCCATGACCTCAAGCAGAGGCAGCCAGATTCCGATGCCCTGTGCCCGCTCAGCCACTGGCCTCCAATCCTCGTCCAGGAACTTGTGGGTCCAGTCGGATCTCCATCCAGTTGTTGTTGAGCAAAGCAAGCAGGGGTGCCAGAGCAAGGACCCAAAGCCCCCTCACCATGATGAGGATGGCTGCAGAGCTGGTGAGTAGGTGAGGAAGGCAATGTGGGAAGTAGGACTCCTTCAAGCCTGTCACTGGGATCTGGGCCATCTGTGGGCCCAGAGTGGCCAACGCTGGATGTGCACACTCCTGTTCAAAGAGGCAACAGATGTGCCTCCTGGGGCCCAAGAGGCTGGGTGTCACAACCCTGGGGTTGGGGGAGCCCCCCATCTTTTTCTGCCTGCGCAGGGAGCTCTGGAAATACAGCAGTGAGGTCCGCATCATTTTTGTTTCTGCAGGGCCTTTTCCCCCCAAGGCCCTGGCTAAAAGCCTGTGGATGGATGTATGCATGCGTAGGTAGGAAGGTAAACAGAAATGTAGACAACAAGTGGATGCACTTCTGGGAGAGGGCTGGATAGGCTGACGGATGGGTGGGCAGTAGATGGACAGATGGGTGGGTAAACCGGACAGGCAAACAATTGGCAAATCTCGATAAGTGGGTGAGTAAAAGGGCAGATGGGTGGATAGATGGATGGATGGCTAGGTGGATGGATGATAGACATGAGGATGGATGAATAAATAATGAATAATGGGTAATGTACTAGTTCATTCAATAACTGTTAACTGACTGGGGCACCTAGGTGGCTCAGATGGTTGAGCATCCAACTCTTGGTTTTGCCTCGGGTCATGATTTTGGGGTCATGAGATCGAGCCCCAAGTCAGGCTCTACACTCAGCGCAGAGTCTGCTTGAGATTCTCTCTCTTTGTCTGCCCCTCCCCCCTCTCTAAAATAATTCTTTAAAAAAATAACTGTTAACTGACTCCATACTATTCTGCAGTAGATACTGGATATGATGGGGTGAACAACCTGGACAAGGCCCGGTTCCTGATGGAATCACAATCTAGTTGGGGAGACAGACGTCAAATGAATAAGCACAAATATGTTACTCTGAACAAGTCTGATGAAGGAAATGATGCTAAGTAAGGAGAGAGTGGAGGATCAGTCTGTGCAAAGGCAGGGCCATTCTTTAGGGCACATGAGTTGTACACCGCACTATTCTAGAGGGCACCATTCACATTGACTTTGCTACCTCAATGTTCCCTTTCTGCTTTCTTGGTCCTCCCACATCTGTTTAACCTTGTGCATCCCATATGGCATAATACAACCCCCTGGAAGGCTTTAAGGAGGGCAATGCATGATGTAATTTGTGTTTTCAAAAGATCATCCTGGCAGCTGAAAATGAATTAAGTAGGGCAAATGTGGGAGTAGGGAGACCTTGGGAAGGCTACAGCAGTGGTCCAGGTGAAGGAATATGGCTTGGACTGGGGTTGGGGGTGGGAGAGGAGCAGTGGTGGAGATGGAGACAAGCAAACAGATTCAGGGTCAATGATTAGGTGTTTGGATAGGCTGGTGGGTGGCTGGATGGATGGGTGAATAGAATGCTTCTCCCCTTCCTCCCTGTTCCAGTTTCTCTTTGAGACCCTAAATGTGCCCAGTGTTTAATCTCACCAAACTTGTATCATTCTGATATCAGGGGAGGGTGGAAAAGTAACCCAGGAGGTGTGGGGAGGAGCCAGGTTTGGATCTCGGAATGATGGACTCCAGTCTGGGCTCTTCCCAGCATGCCTTGTGGTCTCTGAGAACTCTGGGAAATGGAGTTCTGGACCTGGCGGGCTGAGCTGGGCATCACCTCCTCTTCCTGGAAGCCACTGAGGTCCTAGTGGTGAGCCAAGGGGATGCTCCTGCACTTCCAGTGCTCCAGGAAGGCCGTGGCTCAGAAGGACATGAAGATGCTGAAGAACACAGTTGCCACATAGTCAGAGAAGTAGCCCTACTGCAAGGGAGGGAGAGAGGACATACTGTAGGGCCAGCACTGCTTTCCCTGCAGCCAGGCCCAGGTGTCTCAAACACCTACCCATTCCCTTGCTCTTGTCCCTGGCTCACCTTGCCATGGGCCAGATCTTGGAAATATTCCATGTGGCACAGGCAGAGTGGGCACATGAGGAAGGCAGCTCATGGCCCAGATCTCTTCCCTGGGAGCAAAAGGTGCCCATCGTGGGAGGGGCTGTTCCCAAGCAGCCAGCTGATCCTGCCCACCCGGCCCATCCCCCTGCCCCTGGCTCCAGCCACTCATGGTGTGTTGGTGCCCACGGCCATAAGGCCAGAGATAAAGACCAGGGTGCCCACAAGGGCGGCAGACAGGCTAGCAGCCAGGCTGTGCAAAAGCCTGAAGAGGTGACTAAGTCTGCGAGCCACCAGCTCTGCACTTGACCCCAGCTCCCGCTCCCCACCCCCGGTGCCCAACTCACCTAGCCAAAGTAGATGGCCACCTTCTCCCCAAAGTACTCTCATACGAGGTACAGGGGTTGGTGCTTGTGCTAGCATCGCCAGAGGCCCAGTATGAGCACAGCAGTTGGCGAGGGTTGGGGTCTGCACCAGGCGCCTGATACCTGGGCAGTTCATAGGGGCCCTAGGCACATGAAAGGAGGGAGGGCTGTATTCCCTTCTGATGCCCCAGCGGTGGAAGAGAGCTGAGCTTGTGTCTTTTCCACTTCATGCAGTGGGAAGGCTGTAGTGTGGACTCCCTCGGCCAGCAAACAGGCAATGGCCATATCTGTGCGTTTCTGCTCCCTATAGACAGCCAAGAGAGAATCCTACATCAGCTCCCTCCCCTTAAGGTCCCAGCTCCACCCTCCCCAGGAAGCTGTCTCTGTGTCTCCCTTGTTTCTGTGTGTTGGAGAAGTACGAGTCATGGGACTCACTGCCTAGCAATCGGTGAGCAGAGCAGGGGTCATGCCCAGTGCGAGACCTAACACAATGGGATTGCAGGGTCTAGTCTCTAGGCTGGAGACAGAGGGTGGAGACGTGCCAGTTGCTAAGCCCGAGAGCCCATCTACCCACAAAGCTCAGCCTGGGCTGGTGTGTTCCAGCCAGAGGAGCATCTGAGGGGGATTGAAGAGGTGGGACTCAGGCACCGGGAGCCGCTAGGACACAGACTGGCTAAGACCTAAAGTGAGCGAGGCGACAGTTGCCTCCCTGGGGAACCTAGGGGCAAAGCGCCCCGCCCCTCCGCGGAAGGCTCCGCCCCGCCTCACGGGGCTCGCGTGGAGCTGCGGGCTGGGAGCGCGTGGAAGTCCAGCGGCTGCGGGGCTACGTGTTGCTGCAGAGAGTTGCACAGGCGCAGGCGCCGCAGCGGCTCCCCCGAGCGGTCCGAGGCCAGGTTGGAGGGTCACCCGCACCAGGCGACACTCCGCACCCGGGCAGACCCCTCCCGGGCCCACGACTCGGTCTCAGTTTCTCCGCGTGGAACCAGAGCAGCGCCCCAGGGCGCGCTCAGCTTGGCGAAGGGCACGGTCCGGGCGCGGCGCTGGGAGGGACCGCGCTCTTGGGGGCCAGGGTCTCCCGGTGGGCCAGAGCCCGGAGCCCCTCCCCTTGCGACCCTGGCAGGGGGTGACAGATCCCGTTCTGAGCGAGGGGCCTTTCGGCCTTCAAAAGGGCTTTGACGCGCGTTTTCTCGTTTGAGATTCAAACGAGGAGGGAACTAGCCACCCCCATTTTATAAACGTGGAAGGACGCTGAGTGGGCCGGCGTCCTAGAGCAGTGGCTGCTATTCCCCAAATATTGGGCGCCTGCAGTGTGCCAGGCCCTGGGCTGAGCGCTGTACACACCTCGCCCACTTAAGCATCACAGCCCCTCTGGGGGGCTGACACGACGGTAAAGCCCATTTTTACAGATGAGGTGGTGCAGTCGCTTGTGCAGGTCACAGAGCTTGTTAGGGGAGCCCGCGCTCAGCCTCGGGTACCGAGCCGGCGCAGCCCGTCTCCATCGCGCGCGGGGTCCGCTGGAACTCACACTGCGAGCACCGCCGCGGGGGGCGGGGGAGGGCACAGCGGCTCATCCGGCAAGAGCAAGAAGACTGCCCCACCGCGGGGGCGGGCCCGGGGGGAGGTGGACAGGCGGGTCTGCCTCACTCCCCTCCTGGGCGGGAGGCAGGGGACTGGGTTTATCAGTCCCAATGAAGCCAGAATTAAAGGAAACTGGGCTGCAGCAAGAGGGATTGGGTTTAGTTCTAAGGAGGAACTGCCCACTGCCCGTTGCAAGCAATGGACCAGAGATGCCACGGGATTGCTCGCGGAGGGAGAGGGGATTCAGGAGAGGGACTGTCGGTGGCTACAATGGCCTCGGGTGAAGTGGGGCAAGAGTCCTGTCTGGCCCAAGTCTCACCGAGTTCGGTTTCCCCGCCGCAGAAAAGGTTGCCCCTGGATTCTGAGGCACAAATGCTGACGCGGGACGCGCAGAGATGGTCGTCGTCCATGTCCTCGTTGCCATCGCCGTCCTGGGCTCAACAGGATGGGAGTGAGGGGGCGCGGAGCCCGGCGCAGGCGCAGGGGCAGGTGCCGGGAGTTTGCCCATTCTCCGTCGCCCCCGGCTGGGCTGCCCCGCCCCTGGCTGAAGGGGCCGTGCAGCAGCCCGTGTGCCGACCCGACCCGGACCGTCTCCCTCCTCTCCAGCCGCGCTCAGCCCAAGAGCGGCCACCACTACCGTAAGAACAACGGGGAAGATAATAGCCAACATTTATTGTGCCCTTGCCTTGGTGCCCGGTGCTGCGCTGAACATTTTACACACATTTACTTACAACTTCAAGAAGCGGGGGCTGTTATCTTCATTTTACAGACGAACACACAGGAATTAAAGTGAATGGTCCGAGGTCCTAGTTCTCCTTCACCTTCCTTCTGGACGCCCTCCCCAACCCCAGCCTCAATCAGTCATCTTTGCTCCCAGGATCCACCCCTACTTTCTAGAATAGAGTTGAACACCAGCTTCCCCCACCCCCACTGCCCCAGCCTCTGGGTCTGAGGTCACAGGGAGGGGAGAACCTCCACCCCCCCACACCCTTCACTCCCCACCCCCAGCTTGGCCCTCTCGGAATTTGGCTCCACACATCTCCAACTTGTATCGGGCCCCTGAGCCTCCTGCCTCCATGGGGCACTTCCCCTCCCCCCCAAGCCTGTGCCTGGCACATGGGGATTACAGCTGGCACCAGGCTGCCCCGGGAGTAAGGCGATCCACCGCAAGACAGGAAAACCCCAACCCCACCCCCACCCTGGACTCGGCCTGGGCCCTGGGAGCCCACCCAGCAGCCTTTGCAGGTGGGTTCCTGCATCCCCTTCCTTATCCTGGGGCCAGGTTCCTTGCCAGGGGTCCTCCCAGTTGCCCAGGTGCCCAGCCAGATTTGGCTGGCAGAGGGAAGAACTTGCCACTGACCAGCTCAGTGTGGCCTGGGAAGGGAGCCGGGAGGAGAAAAAGGGAAGGAAAGGGAGGAAGGAGGTGCCAGCACTGTATTCCCTTCCTAAGGGCAGCCCCAGGCTTCACAGCTGGAAAAGCTGGGAGGACCAAGAGAGGAGGGCCTGTGAGGGGCTGGACCCCAAGACAGCATTAGGGGATGGGGGGAGGGGTTCAAGGGAAGGGAGTGCCTAGGGCTGAGAGCATCGGAGCAGTGGCTCTGCAACCTTGGGCAAATGCCTGTCCCTCTCTGGATCTCAGCTTCTCGAAGTCTGTTCAGGCTGCTATAACAAAATACCACAGACTGAGTGGCTTATAAACAACAGAAATTGGGTGCCTGGGTGGCTCAGTTGATTAAGCGACTGCCTTCGGCTCAGGTCATGATCCTGGAGTCCCGGGATCGAGTCCCATGTCAAGCTCCCTGCTCAGTGGGGAGTCTGCTTCTCCCTCTGACCCTCCTCCCTCTCATACTGTCTCTCATTCTCTCTCTCGCAAATAAAATCTTAAAACAACAACAACAACAACAACAGAAATTTGTTTCTCACAGCTCCGAAGGCAGGAAGTCCAAGATCAAGGCACCAGCAGGGTCTTGAGGACCCTCTTCCTGGTTTGGAGACTGCACTTTCTGTGTCTTCACTGGGTAGAAGGGGCTACGGAGCTCTGTGGGGTCTCTTTCATAAGAGCACTGATCCCACGCAAGAGGCTCTGCCCTCAAGAGCTAATCACCTCCCAAAGGCTCCTAATACCATCGCATTAGGGATTCGGATTTCAAATTATAAATTTGGGAGGGACACAGTCAGTCCATGGCACTCCCCATCTGTAGGGAAGGGGGTTAGGACTCCTTGAGAGCCTGTTTGGGGTAAGGAAGGGGGCGGGCTGGTAAGTCCTGACTGGGAAGATCAGCAGCAGGGCTGGACCACAGCAAGCCCACCCCCACCCTCACCTCAGGAGATGGTCCCTCCTCCTACAGCCTTCCCTCCAGAGCCCCAAAGTTCAGTGGCTCCAGGGCCCTGAGCAGGAAGCATGGCTACCCTTTTCCCAAAGGTCCAAGTCGGGGCCCACCCCTGAACCAGTCTGGGGCATAGTCACTACTCCTTCCTTCCACAGAGCCTCAGGGCCCATGAGGGGGTGGGGTGAGTGGAGAGGTATTTGCCTTTGAGCTGTTGTGATCTAATGGTGGAATTTGGGGCACCAAAGCAGGGGGAAGGCAACTTCATGGCCTTGCGACACTTCACTGAAGCGGCTTCTGTCCCCAAGCCCTGAGAGGGGAGTTTTATCTGGAGCCCAGACCCTCTCCCTGGACAACACACACAGGACCTGCTGCATAATCTGTGGTGTCCAGAGTTTCAAGATGGCAACAGCAGAGCATTAAACCAGGTGGGAAGGCCCCTCTGAGCGTGGGACCCTGTGGACTGCCCACGTGGCAGGCCCACGAAGCTGGCCTGAATCCACACATGTGTGTCTACACATGCTTCTTATTCTCCATGTGACCCTGCCCAGAGCACAGTGGGCCCAGCCACTGGCTATTACAATAATGGTTCGCGGCTCCTTCCTCCCTCGGGCTCCCCGTTCTGCACTACCATGGAGTAGTAGACTGAAGTGGCACAGGGGCAGGGCTCGCAGGGGCTGAGACAGTGGGGCTGGGATGGCAGGTGGCTGGGCTCCAAGTGCCAGGCCCACCACCCTCCCTTTCTTATCCTTACACAGGAAAACAGCAAAGGGAATGGTTCACCTCTTGGTTTGGGGTGAAGGAGTGTGACAGGGTGATTCTCTGACGGGAGCAGGGCTAACCAGGAGAAAACTGGCCTGCTGGTGTCCAAGAAGGATGCAGAAGCTTCCTTTCTGGGGGAGCTTCAAGCCCAGAGATAACTGGCTGGACATGGGGTAGCTGGTGCTCACAACACAAGTACGGGTAGCTGGCGGGGGGGCGGGGTGGCGGGGTCACATTCAGGTCCAGAGGCTACCTGGGGTCCCACTCCCAAGCTTTGCTGTTGCCTGCTGGGGTAAGGTCTACTGAAGCTAAGAACAGAGAACGGGCTGAACCCACTGCCCAGGAGCAGAGGAAGCCTACAGTGGGAAGGTCTCCGGCCCAGGAGTGGAAGCTAACCTACGAGCTGTACCACTGTGAGGCATGGGGTCCTGCCCAGGGACCTTCCTTCTCTGGGGTATGGGATAAACTCAGGTCTCGGCTCTGAACCAGAGTTGGGGGTAAGAAGATGCTAAAATCAGTCCTTTAGGCCCTGGAAGGGGTGATGAACCTATGGGTAGTGCCCAGGGAGGCAGACATGGTAGAGGCCGTGCAGGCAATCAGGGTGCCCAGGAGTGTGAGCCAGAGTGGGGAGGTACGAACCTCCTGTGTGTGCCAGCAGGAGTATGTAAATGTGTGGAGAAAAGTGTTTTAGAACAAGTGCTAGTATGTGATCATGCATGTTGGGTATGGGGTGTACAGAGCTGCTGGTGCTGCCTTCTCAAGAGGGGGCTCGAAGGGTCAGGTGGCTTCTGGGGTCACACACCTGGGCCCCCAGGCCCTTCCAGCTAGCTCAGACTCAGGCCAGGCCTTAGCCCACCATTAGGGGGTGTCAGAACGCATAAAGGCTCTCTTCATCAGCACCCCCCACCCCCAGACTTTAGCCTGTCTGGTAGATGGGGCAGATGTGAGACACAAGAATGGGCAAGTTCACTGTTGCTGGCTTTCCACAGGGCAGAGCTGCCCAACAGGGCAACTCACTCCCTGACCCCACCTGGTGCAGTCCCTGGCCCTGTGTATGAGCTTTCTGATTCCCCAAGTTGGCGGGGCCCCTGTCCTGAGCTTAGTCTGACACCTTCACGATGGAGAAAGGTACTGCAGAGAGAGGGCTCGCAGCAACACGATGGTGGACTACATTTCCCAGCATGCTCTGCAGCTCCATGTAACCATGTGACTATGTGTTGGCCAATGGAAGGTGGGCAGAGGCCAGGTCCTAGGAAACCTCCTAGGTAACCTTCCACTTGCACTCATTCCCAGTTGGCTGACTGGAGGTTGATGCCCCAGGGCAAACTGGGAAGCCATGTGTTAAAGACCTTAGAGTCAGGGTCTCTGCATGAGTTCATTCCCCAGAGCCCCCAGGCCCACCTTTCACTTCCACCTGAGGTGAGACAAAGCAAGGAAAAAGCTTCCATAGAGTTAAGCCACCGGGATTTCAGGGTTTATCTGCTACAGCAGATGGTGCTACCTCAACTAATATAGGCTCTTGATTGAAGTCACTTGAGGTCTAGGGCCGGGCTGGGACACCCCCTCTTCCCACTCACCCTCTCTGGGTGCTGCAGAAAGGGGGAGGACAGCAGGCAGTTAGGGGAGAAGCTTGAGCCCTGGGGTCCCGCCCCTATAGTTCCTCAGCTTCCAGAGCTTAGACCCCCAGGTCAGAGGGAGAAGGCCAGGGGGCACCCAGATGCCCTCAGACCACTGACCCACAGAGCCTTGCGTCCCCAACTCACTGCCATGAATTCTGCCAGGAAGGTGCTGCTGGGGCAGGAGGCTTCTCAGGACACCATCCTCCCGACAGCCCCTCTGGCCAGTCCTCAGGATGAGATCCATATTCCTGCCTCAGCCTTAGGACCTGGGTGCTGCCCTCTGCCTTGGGTCACCTGAGGGCTGGGAGTAGGGATCAGCAGGGGTGTTCTCAGAGGTGTTGGGGAGCAGGCCAGCTGCCACCTGGTCCTGGTGCCACAGCTGTTCCGCCAGGCCACTGAGCACGTGGGCAATGTCGGCCAGCCCAGCCCGCCCATCCAGTGTGCGTCCATCTGCCAGCCGCCGGCCTGGCACACTCTTCACCCGCAGGAGGGGCAGTTTCCAGGCCTGCCGGAAGGCTGTGAGATCCCGCTCAGGCACATCTGTTTGCATGTACTGGTCAAATCTGGAGGAGGGTCAAGGAGCCTGGCCGGATGCCTCAGCTTACCGCCTCATCACACCTAGCCTTAGCCCTCCTCGATGGGCTGGCGGAGGGGAAGGCCCCTGCTGCCTTGAAGGTAAAGTCCATGGGACTAGACCCCCACAGCTGGGCAGAGGCAGGGTCCCCGGTCCCCTTGCTTCATGCCTTGCCAAGTGTGGCCTCTGCCCCAGGGGCCACCCAAAGGATACTTGGAGCCGATGACCATCCTGACAATACCAGGGGCCTCGCCTGCTACTCGGGCCAGCTGTCCAGGGAGGTCTTCAAAGGAGGCACGGTCGGTGAAGGAGAAGAGGAAGAGGAAAGCATCTGTTTTCTCCTTGCAAGCCTGGGGATGGAGAGGCTGATGTGAGACTTGTAACCATGGGCCCCAAGAAGTCCCAGCTCACTCCCTCCCTCCACAGGCCCAGTCCCCACTGCCAGCTCAGAGCTCTCCCACCTGGGGCAGCACCCTCAGCCCATGCCCACATCTGGCTCCTGCAGACCAGGCAGGCTGGGCTCAGACATTCGGACTCAGAAATCCATCTCACAGCCAGCCACTCCCGGACCCTCCCAGGCCCACCTGCCTGCTCACCGGCAGCATGTGATCGAACTTTTTGAGTGCAGACTCCCCACAGTCCCAGAACTCAAAGCGGAACATGACAACACGGTCGCTGGCCTGCAGCTTGGCTGGCCAAAATACCACGGTGGTCTGGATGCCTGGGGAGGGTCAGCCATTCAGCATGGGGGAGGCACAGTGGAAAGGGTTAAGGGGACCAGGAAGGAATAGGAAGAAGACACGTCCTTGGTGGGTCACCAGCCTGACAGGGAAGGCATATTCGCTGACCTGGGAGAATTCTCAGTCTGATGGGAGAAACTGACCTGCCCTAGATGAGCCTGCAGTCTGCTGGGGAGATGCAGCCCTAGCCCTAGCCATGACAAAGCAGTTTCACTTGTACGTATAGGGGGACCCAAAGATACTGGATACTGGACACTGTTGCAACCTCCTGGCCAATCAGCATCCAGTGGAAGGAAACAAGAAAGGAAAAGTAGTGCTCCCTGAGCACCTTTCTTGTGCCAGCTCCGTACTAGGTCTAGTACTTTGGGGTTGGTACTATTATCTGTGCTGAACGAAGGAAACAGATGTAGGCTCAGAGAAGTGAAGTGACTTTCCAAGGTTGCACAGTAAATGGTGGGACAAGGGCCAGTGTCTCCTCCACTGCAGGGAAGGCCTCCCCGGACGGACTCACCAGTGGTCTCATGGTGTGCCACGGGTACCTCCAGGCCAGCCAGCTTGGCCACCAGGGCTGTCTTGCCCACACCACTCTTGCCAGACACGAAGATCTTGTAGCTGGCTGTGTCAATGGCCACGGGTGGGGGCAGCACTGGTCGCTCCAGCAGCCCTGGGACAAGAAGGGAGCCAGGTGGGGTCAAGTGGTCAACCTGCAGTTGCCCCATCAGACCCATCAACTCTAAGAGCTTTTCAGTGCCAGCCAGCCATGGTTCTCTATGCTCATTACAGAGGCCTGGGACACAAGCAGGGTCCCTGGGTGAGCTCTGCTAAGAACACCTGTGCTCTGTGAGCGGCACCACGGCCTACTCCAAATAACATCGAATTACTTTTATTTAAAGTTTGATGCATGAGATTATTTTTACTGATACTTTATCACATGTTCTAGATTTCCCACATGTAAAGGCAAGGTTTTTCATAAGTCTTTCCTCAATGGAGAAATATCAGCAAAAATATTCTCAATTACTATAAATAAACTCAGTAGAATCAATATATCAAGATCTTTATGAATGCTTTTAACTAACTTGAAAAAAAATTTAATTGTGATACATCCATAGGCTTAGGACCTTAAAGTCCTAAGTTGTGGGTTGCCCTCTCATTCTCTGGTCTTAAGCCTTCTGGTGCTTTGTTTCTTCTGTCCAGAGCTGAGCCCCCACAGCAGATGCCAGGCCCCTCTGCTGACCTGCCAGCCCAACCTTGGGTGAGTTGGCTTCATCCTGGGAAACATGAATGTCTTGTCTTAGAGACAGCAGGATATAGAAGAGGCTTGCCTCTACTTACTAGGCTGGATCTTGGAGAAGTCTGTAAGGTGTACTGTTGAGGGTAATTGGGAGTCTGTTGTATAACGTGCCCAGCAGAGGGCCTGGCACCCAGTGAGAACTCAATCAACAGCCTCTCTGGTGACAGTGGTTCTTGGCAGGGTTTCCGCTGTTTCCATGTTCCTGGTCTGATGATGGAATTAACTCTAAGGTGATTCCGTGGCGGGGTCCCCAGGGATAGGGCTTCCAGGAGTCCCCAAGGCTGAGGAGTGCAGCAAAGCAGACCCTCACTGCCCTACTTCTTTGCTTCCCCCCCCCAGGGAACAACAGGCCACAGACTTGGGCGGCAGACACTTACCAAACACCCGTCTGCAGTTCTTGCGGAGGATGCAGGCCAGGTACTCCTTGCCCTCGGCGCTCTCGTGCCAGTCTGGAACAATCACCGAGCCCGGGGCAGGTGGTCTGGCCATGGTTGGGCGCCCCGACCGGGTAGGGAGATGGCAGAACGCTGAGTAGGGGATGGGAGAGGGTAACTGTCCCGAGCTGGACCTGTGATCCCTCTCAATCTGCTCTCTGACTCTCCCTTGGAGCCCCAGCTCCCTCCTTGGGGTGGGGGATCAGCTATGGCCCCCCAGCCTTATCTCCATTAGCGCTATTGGAGCCCGAGCTTCCTTTCAGTCCTGGAGAGTTCCACACTCCCCGTCTCCCTCTTATTACCCAGAAGCTGCAATCCCAGAGTCTCTTCTTCCCCATATTGTTCCCTGGGGAAATACTTATCCCACTATTGCCTCGTGGCGGGGGTGGGATTTACACAACCCTCCCCTCCTTTGTCATCTCGGGGCGGGGGCGGGGGGGCCGTGTTACACAGCCCTGCTTTTCCTCTGCCTCGATCCCGACTCCCTGGGCCACCCAGCCCTCACCATCAGCATGTCCTGTCGGCGAACAGGCCCGGGCGGAGCTGGTCCCTTTAAAAGCCCAGCCCGCTCGGATTGCTTCCGCCCTGCGGGCGTCCGGCTTCGGAGCCCGCCCCACGACCAGGCGCGCGTGCTTGAGGCGCATGTGCGGAGGCTGTTGTCAGGGAGACGCCCGACGTCTGTCCCCTCAAGTTCGCCGCTACCACTGCGCAGCGACACCCCCTGGACGGGGCCTTCCTCTCTGGGCCCTGGGTCTTCCCCATCACTCGGTTCGACCCCGCAAGCGTTCCTCGAAAACCTGATCAAGTCCCTCGCCTCCAGGAGCCTTCTCTGCCTCTCAGTGCCTTAGTCTCCTTTCTATAACGTGGAAGTAAAATTTACTTCCTAGGGTTTGTTGTTTTGTTTTTACAACAGCGCTCGGCCCATAGCAGTGCTCAGTAAATTATTATCGCTGCTGTTACTATCACTCTATTAATTCTGCTCGGCAGGACCTAAGAGATGAGTTAAACACCTCTGGCTTCACAAGTGGGGAAACAGCAGCTCAGAGCGGTTAAGGGACTCGCTCAAGGTTTTAAAAATGAGTCAGAGGCCCACAGGATTGTACTGGCCATTCATTTATTGATTGATTCATCCCATTCATTCAACAAATAATTACTGAGCACCTACTATGTGTTCCCCCCGGCCTACGCGCTGGCAATACAAAGACTACCCAGAAGTACTCCCCTCCTGGAGCTGACATTTCAGCACTGAGGCCTTGAGCCCCTCTCCACTGTTCCAACAATGGGCACCGGCCTGTTACTAGAAGGTGGGTGCTCAGTAAATCCCTGTTAGTGGGACAGGATGCAGGTGGGCCCTTCCTCAGAGGTTGTCTATTATGCTTGATTTTCATCAGTATCTCCTTCAGGGCCTTCATGTAGGACAAATCCTTGTTCTGTAAGGAATCTATAAGTTAACTTTTATTGAAGGCTAACTAAGTGCCAGACAGTGGAGGTTTTATAGAGGCGACCTCATTTAACTTCGTAAACAAACCTGTGTAGGAAATATCATCCCTCTTGTCTTTTACAGACAAGGGAACTCAGAGACATTGTGATTATCAAAGGTCACATCACACAGATGGTTTGTGGGAAAACTAGACTTGGAACCCAGGGTTTTTGGACTCTGAGCATCTATCCTGCCAGACTGAGTCTCATGTTTTTTACACTCTGCCCCCAGCCACTAGGAGGGCTCTTCATAGTAATGCTGAAAGCAGCCAGAGGGCCATGAACCCACAAATCACTGCAGCCCATTATGTCCAAGAGAGTAGAGGGGATGCAGCTGTGTGAGACAGGGCACTTGCTCTCAACTTGCTTCCACGGCAGCCGGGCAGAAACACAACAACTGAATACCCATTCCTATGAGATTCTGCCCCTTGAAACCCTTGCCCACACTCCCAGGTTGCTCAGCTCCCTTTCCTGCAATTCTTACCGCATCAGCCCAGAGTCAGGATTGGTCACACTGTGTGGAGCGCTCTCTCTCCGTGGCAGGGCTCAGATCTGACTTATCTGAGTTTCCAGGCTTCACATTTAGCCCTGCTCTGTCTTGGCTCTTGGAGGGCTCAGGGAGAGTGTGAGGAAATGAAGCAACTTGGCAGAATGAGCTTGCCGGTTCACCTGGAGGCCAGATGTGAAGTCCTCTTGGAGAGGGAGGCTGGTGATCAGAGTTAGTGGCCAGAGGTTTTAGGGGAATCAGGCTTCACTGCCCTCAAGAGCCCCTGAGGGGACGTTTCAGTGAGCATCAGGAGCCTGTTCAAAACATGGATTCTTGGGGTCCATTCTCCAGAGATTCTGCTTTAGGGGGCCAGATGGGTCTGTAAGCTTGCACATTTAACAAGAGCACTGGGCAGTTTAGAAAGTAGGTTCTGCATCAGCCTGCAGGGGCTGCCATAACAGAATACCACAGACTGGGTGGCTTAAACAACAGAAATCTATTTTCTCACAGTTCTGGCAGCTGGAAGTCCAAACTCAAGGTGCCAGCAGGGTTGGTTTCCGGTGAGGCCTTTCTCCCTGGCTTGCAGGCAGCCACTCCGTACACACACACACCCTTGGTGTGTCTTCCTCTTAAAAGGACACCAGTATTACTGGATCAGGGCCCCGCCCTGATTACCTCATTTAATCTTTATTACCCTCTTTAAGGCCTTATCTCCGAGTAAGTCACATTGGGGGTTAGGGCTTTAACATGGATTTTGGTCAGTGGTGAAGAGGGAGACACACGATTCAGTCCATAGCAAGTCCACAGATCTCACGTAAACACTGCTGCTGGCGGCAGGAAGCCAGTCAAGGGTTAGAGCCTGGGAGTGAGGTGGTCAGAATTTCATTTCGGAAGGATTCTCGTGGACCATTTTGGTCTGGTGAGTTCCGCTTTCCTGTGCCCCCTCTGACCATTAAATTGAGTGTCCCCCTGAGTAGGATGCTTTTCCCCCTAAGGCCTAAGGAGAAGCAGGTGGACGATCTATCTAAAGGCCTTTCTGGTGTAAAACCTCCTGATTAATCCATTAATTTCTTCATGGTTTGGTCTCTCTCCATCCCCCAGGCTGATTGAGCACCTTCTGGACAAGGCCCCATAAGGCCTGGAGAGGATTTATCAAGGCAGGGAGGGACGATCACCTGCCTGAAGTAGATGGCCCAGGTGGGCAGACACACGGGCCTGAGGATCTCGGGGGCAGGGGTGAGTGGGACCCCCAGGGAGTGTAAGTGGAGAAGGGACAATCGGATTGATGTTTCTCTTCTCTTCTCTGCCTGGACACTGCAGCTGTGTCCTGAAGGGTTTGCCAACTTGCCTTCTGGAATGCCACAGAGGCACCCGAGTGGTCTTTAGGCAATATAAATCTGGCAATGTTACACCCATGCTTAGAGTTTTCCAGTAGTTTTCACTGCACTCAGAATGAATCCAAACCTTGTGCCCTCAAGGCCTTTTGCGACTGGCCCCTGACCACCTCGTGCTTTCGGCGGTCACTCTCTTCCCCTTGCCTACCGCACTCCAGCGAGCCTGGCCTTCTCCTGTTCCCACACAGGGCCCCTGCACTGCAGTGCCCACCACCTGGCGCTCTCTGCATCTCCCCCACTAACGTCCCGTGCGTGGCTGCTTCACCTGTGCGGAGACCTGCCTCCTCCCCCACGCAAGGACATGCCCTTACCCGCTAGGCTCACTCCTTCATGGCATCCTGTTCTTGATTCTGAAATTTTATTTTTTAAGATTTTTAAGTAATCTCTCCACCCAACATGGGGTTTGAACTTACAACCCTGAGAGCAAGAATCACATGCTCTACCAACCGAGCCAGCCAGGCGCCTCTTGCTTCTGAAATTTTAAATTGATTGTCGGTCTCTCTCACCAGAACATGAGCTCCGTGAGCACAGGGCCTTGTCTTTTTGTTCTGGTCCATCCCCGTTTCGGTTTGCTCGACCCGCAGTAATGAAGTACCACAGACTACGTGGCTTACACAACACAAATGTGTTTTCTCATTTCTGGAGGTTGGGAATGATAGATGGAGGAGTTGCTAGGGGTAGGAGGGAAGGGTCTGCTCAGGCCTCTGTCTCTCTGGCTTGTAGGTGACCATCCTCTCTCCACGTCTTCACACTGCCTTCCCTCTGTATGAGTCTGAGTCCAAATTCGCTCTTCTTAGAAGGACTCGAATCATACTGGATCAGAGCCCACCCTAATGGCCTCATTTTAACTTAATCACCTCAGTAAAGACCCTATCTCCAAATATGATTACAATCCGAGGTACTAGGGGTTAGGACTTCAACATAAGAATTCGGGGAGGGGGGGCGGAAGGACATAATTCAGCCCATAATAATCCCTACTAGCTAGAGTATGTCTGACACAGTAAAAGCTCAAAGAAACGTGTCGGCTGACTGGCTGTGGCTGCAGCTTGGGAAATGGCCTGAAGAGGGTGTGCCTGGAAGAAGGACCAGTTAGGAAGCTGGGCAAACATTCCAGGCCTGGGTGGATGAAGACGTGTACTTGTCAAGTGTGTACGAACACTCCCTGTGCCAGGCCAGACACTGCGAAGACCACTGTGAAGTAGATACAGACCCTACCCTTGTGGATCTGACACTGGTGGGGGCTGTAATCAAATAACCAGGCAAGTGCACTTAGAAGCAGGGCAGTAGGGTAGAGAGGAAGGGCAGATTGGAAACGTCCAGATTCTGTTTAAATAGAAGATTTGGGGCTGGAGCTGCCAAATCATCCCCAGGGAGTTCTTTTGAGCCTGGAATGTGCCAGGCCTGTGCTTGGCAGCCAGGCTAGCGTCCTTGACCTGGACAGCCTCATGCATCACTTCCTGCTTACAACCCTCTACACCTGCACCTAGAGTCATGTCCCCCCACCACCACCATGGCCACAAGGGCCACCCGCACCCTCTGCCTTCACTCACACACTCCAGACATGCTGGCCTTTCCTCTGCTCCTTGAACTTGTCAAGTTCATGCCTGCCTCAGGGCCTTTGTTGTTGTTCTCTCTGCACAGCTGCTCTTATATTCAGGTCAAATGTCAGCTGAAATATCACCTCCTCGGAAAGGCCTCCTCTGATGAGCCCAAGCCCATCCCGTTTTTATTTTCTTCATGGTCCTCATCTGGAACGATCCTGCTCAGCTCTTTACACATCTGTCCCTTCTCCCTCACCCCCCACTGAAATGTCAACTCCACAGGCAGGGTCTGGCACACAGCATTACATTAATGCAGGGGTGAGCGCCGGCCCCCTCCTCTCTTGATCCAGTCAGCCCTCAGAGGCTGAGTTTTCTCCCTACACATTTAAACATCCTCTCGTGGTCCAGACCCCACTCCTGCCTGCCTCTCATCCCTATCTCCAGTGCATTCTCCAGTTCTGCCCTGTGCACTCGGGTCACACTGACCTTCTCAAGGTGCCGGAAGGGCTGGTCACACTTGGATTTCTGTGCCTTTGCGAAGGCTAGTCCCTCTACCGGAATACCCTTCTCCTTTCTCCCTCTGGCACTGGCCACAGCACCTCTCACGCTTGGTTCTTGCGATTCCCTAGCACTTTATCTGATTTCTTTCCTTCCATCTGGAG